TCATGAAATGCTCGAGTATTTCATGAAATGGTCGCATTTCATGAAATGTCTCACTATCTATTGGCCACATCATGATGTGGTTTGGGCAGATCAATGATGAGAAATCGTTTCACGATATGGCCAACTAAACGCGCGGCTTATTCATGAAATGGCCAAAATTATTTGATCATATCGTAAAGTTGTTAAATTAGTTACCGGTAGAGGCGCTGCAAGCGCTTTGTTTATATTTGTAAATGGCGGCCGCTGCCGACAATGTTGTTTCTCGCAGTGATAAAGTGCATAATTTGTTATTAAATGAGGAAGAAAGTGATAACAAAAGGGTTTTCGACGAAAAGGTTCTCGAGTACTAATCAAGTTAAGCAAAAACTGAGTAAAATGTAAAAAAACCGTGGGTTGGATCGCATTACACAGGTTAGTACTTTACTCTTAAATTACATGATTATTCACTTATTTTATTAAAATACTTTATGCCAGTTAACGTATTGTGTTTCTATTAAATTAATATTAATCTTCGTTTGTGAATTATGACATAATAAAGTTAATGTTTTTTCTTTTTTAGATTATGAAACAAATTAAGGAGAGTAGGGTGACTACGCAAAAGATATCCATGGACTATTACTGGCTGCCAAAATATGACATTTTGGAAACTGTGGATGAAGTAAAAAGTGCGGATGAGAATCAAGCCTACTATTGCAATATGTACCAAAGTACCTTTTTATTTCCAAATATTTGTTAGTTTTCTAAATGTAAATGACGTTTACATTTGTGGAACTACATGACACGTTGATGTTTAATTTAGAAAAAAAACTTTGATTTGATTATTTTCTTAAAAAATATGATTCAATTTGTTTGTGTCATTCGGACTCAAATGACAATAAACAAGTTCTTAACATATTCTGGATTTTTATTAAATATTTTATGGACACCCTAATTATACGATCCGGCGAAATGTGGATGACAAAATCGTTAAACGTTGACGATTTAATGATCTGCTCAAATTAAGTTGGCCACATCATGAAATGCGACCATTTCATGAAATACTCGAGCATTTCATGAAATGAGCAAATCTACGATATGGCCACGACATATATATACACATATTTGTATGTGTATGTATATATATGTACGTATATGTATGTGTGTGTGTGTATAAATTTAACCTTTTGCATGTATCCACGTCTGTTCCGAATAAATGTTTTTCATTTCATTTCATTTCATTACAACGAAACAGTTAAAAAACATACGTTTAACGCGAGTTGTCATATAAAATTTTCCCATACAAGTTTTGAAACCGTGTCTAACTTTTTTGTAGTAAGACCGGCAGTTTTCTGGCTAGACATTTGCTTCAATTGTAAAACGAATAACTGTAGGATAAAAATGTATAATATAAATCTAAAAAATCAAGTAGGTACGGTTCATAATTTATTTGCTTCTTCTGTATATAGAACAATTAAGCCATAATCAAATATGGCTATGGTCGAGATAAAGCTTTGGTGGACTTAACACGCTCATGAATTATTAACGGACCATGACTTTTGATGTGTCAATTATTAGCCTTTGCCTCTATTAAAACACTATTGAATTAGAAATTCCGATTAACATTTGCGATGCCTCCATAATACGTTGTGAAAAGCTTTTGAAAAACAATATTTGTTGTTGATGTTTTTTGCTTTTGGTATTTAAAGCGTCTGGCAATAAATACTACCGAAGGATTAAATTCATTGATATCAGAAACAGTTTTGTTTGCAGAGGTGAAGCTAATTTATTGGCAATATTTAAGTGTTATCGGTACACACTAATTATCTATGATAATATAATTAATAATAATATGATAATTATCATTTTATCACTAATTATCCTTCAACCAAACATTGGTGGGGCGCATCTTCGTGGATTGCACTATCTGTATCAGAAACATTGAAGTCTTTTGCCAAACTTTTATTAAAAATAAAATAACTTCAAAGTAAAACGTGTCTAAAAATCAAAGCCCGTATTCCGTGAACGGTGCATAAAGGGTGAGTAAGCGATCGCGGGGTAAGTGTGCCGTGATGAGGAGCACGCGCGCTAAGCACGTTCATGAATTATTAACGGACCACGACTGCCGATGAGTGGGTACCACTACCCTAAGGCACTTGTGCCACCGGCGACAATGAACGAGAAGCTATAATGGAGCTAGAAATAAGTTGGTGAGTAGCAGGAAGCGAGTGTATAGTTCCAATAGTTTTATCGCTGGACTATGAGCGAATATACGAGTACACGCGCGATTACTCGCACCACTTGTTCGCGGAAACAGTTGTGAGCAAAAATGCACGCGCACGAGTTTTGAGACAAGCGAGCACCGCTGAGCCTGTATTGCTGAGGGAGTATTATCTTTGAAAACTCAGCGACAAAATAGTGGAGAGAGTTGGTAACAGTCGGCGATCCACTAGTAATATACCTATGCATTTCTTTTGTTTACACGGAATTTATATCTTAAGCGATAAATTGTAGATTAGTCGTTTCTTCGCCGTTGGTGGGACAACTGCCTTACTTTATACAGACACATGAGTAAAGAAGGCGCAGAAGCAAAGCTTCATGCATTGCGTGTGTGTCAGTGAACACTGGCGTTTCTCTGTGTACGCGACAAGTGCCAGTGCTCACTCATACACGCGCAATCGATCGTATCAACCATGTGACAGTGATACGCGTAGATTTGGATTCCCTCGAGTGTGGAATCATTTTTTGTCGAACACCGAGGAAATTGGATACAAATGATCGCATCGCCGTGCGACAAATATAAGTAATGTACGTACGTTTGAGCTTCCTTTATTGCCGTTATTGATTTTCTGTACTTACTTTCGGCAGTGTTATGAGGGGTACGTAGGTGCGGTTGTTCGTTTTGCTGTTTATTTATTTGCGTGCGCTTAAAAAGTTTCTGGTGTTACATTTGACTTTGTTTTATAATGAAAGAAAAGCTTTCTAAATTTTTTCGTTGCAAATATCTATAAAATAAATGCACGCTTAAAAACGAAATGTTACTGAAAACATACGTTAATATTTATAAGTTTAAATTTAAAGAAAAAAATCCACGCAGTCCAGGCAGCAGACGAGACTCGGACTCGCATCCTCCGCTAACCGGGCGGATGCACTGATTATGCTACTGCGAGTTAATATTATAAAAAATATATACCAAGATGTATTATTTTATTACAAATTCGGTCACACTTCAAGTTAATTTAATGTGTTCTTTAAAAGCAATGTCACCGTATCAGTAACTTTAACGGGGTAATAGGTTCAAACTTTTGGGATCACGAAACTTCCTCGTCCCTACTTCATTTTCATCTAAATGCTGCACTGTGGTCTTCAACGGCGTGTGACGTCATTCTCCACAACGTTAATTTGCATTGCCATAACAGTAGCTTACACGGTGAACCCTGAATTTGAGATTTACTTTGGTACCTTGCTCTAATTGCGACTTCTTGGTACTAATTGTTATAGAGGAGTGGGTTAGTTTAGTTGGCAGTTAGGGTAGTCACTGCTAATATAATTCGAATACATCGTAAGAACAAACAGCTATAGAGTGCTGGGTACCCTTTCGATAAAAGCCAAATTACTCACGGAGTGAAAGTTTATTGATGTTAAACGTTCTTTTCGATAGAAATAACGAGGCAAATTAGTTGTTTGCCATCTTTTTGTTATAAAAAAGCTGAACTAATGCGAGTCGTACTCGTCCACCAAAGGTTTTGTAAAATTTAGGGGAACATATTATTATAAATAGTTCAGGAAACAAAGTTCGCAGTACCCGAGCTTTTTTCTGAAATTGTTTTTTTATTAAGTACCTATAAATTTATATATATATTAAAAATATTAGGAAACCGATAACTATAAATATTAGCTTTCAATTCATGTAATTACTGTTTTCAAATTCCTATTACTTGTCGAGTTATTACTACAAAAACACTGAATAATTATTACCCGCCAGAGGACTTCCTGAAATCGACGCTATATTTTTTTTATGTATGACCACGCATAACTTTTTTCAGTATAGTCCGATTTTGATAATTAATATTTTTCGGATAAGGAAAAGAGTGATCTTTGTTCATTGTCTATTTGGCGCCGACACAAAATTATTTAGGTACACTTACAATAGCTTAAGAACTTATTTGTTAAGGTAAAAAAAGGTTTATTGTTTTATGCTCTATGGCTTTTCTGTAAAGTTATATAGTATTTTTTTAACATTTGTGCCATTAGTGCGATATGTCACCAGTTTCGGTTGGCATTCATGGTTAATTGTATGTTTTTTTTTGCTATAATTTCCAATTCTGCTGTAACAATCACTATTATATAGGTACTTCCATAATAGTGGCCGCCCGCGACTTCGTTAGCGTTTACTTTAGTTTTTTGAGAATATTTCAGGAAGCTAAACATTTTTCGGCAAATCCTTTTTAGTAAGCTAAGCAAAAAATAGGATATAAATATCGAAAGCTCAAAAGCCAATTTAAATAAACTTTTTTGCCGCTGTCATGATTTCCAGTGTGATTCAATACAAAATAGTTCACTGTCCTAGAGCTTGTGTCGCGACGAGGAAATAAGATGTCAGTCAAATGCCGGCGTTGACGTTAAGCGGACGTGCACACGGCCTCTGTAAGCTTAGGTTGTATAAAGCTACGCTAACCGACTTTCTGTTTTCTGAAGACATTTAAAGCATGAACATGTTGAAAATATTGAGAAACCCCTGATAAGGATTTTAATAGAATACCTACAAAGATTACGACGATCTCTGTAATGCATGTACGTGGACGTACAAAATATCTTGAAATGGCGCAAATTTGTAAATAACTTATCTATTATGGAATTAATATCCCTTTAAACTACATAGACCCTAAAAGTAGACTTATTTAAATCAATTTATGACAATTAAAATTGTCAAGTTTTCATGATTGCACAACTGAAGAAAGGAGTAATTTTTTGAAAAAACTAATTTAAGTGAAGTGGCCGTAGAATGAGGTTTCAATTAGCTTTTAGATTTTAGAACTTTTGTGTAAGTGGGCCAGAATGTAAGATAAATTAAGATTTAGGAAAGAAATGAGTGAGGATAATGAGGATCCTAGTTGAGGCATAGCATGGGATGGCTTTTGAATTCTTTTTTTTATTGGGTCATCAGGCAAAAGAACTGGCAGTCCACCTGATGGTAAGTGGTCACTGCCGGTCATTCCGCTCATAGACACATGCAGCACCTAGGGTACCACACATGCGTTGGCGGCTCTGAAAAAAAAGGTTTACTCGCGTCTTGAAGACTGCCTTAACATAGCTCAGAAATCAATATATCTTTATTCAAATTGGATGTATAGTACAACTCTTTTGAATGCTAAAAAGCAAAATCGCTAAGGGAAGTTCGTTCCAGATCTTGCTGGAACCCAACAAGAAGAAACGCTTATATCGCATGGTGCTAGAACGCCATACGTCCAGTGCCCTATTACACCAAGTCGACATATGTCGCTGACAAAATCTGACAGAACCAGCTGAATACGACGAGTGATTCCGTTCCCTTCGATTCCGTCGGCCTAGGCACCTCTTACAGTACCCCGACGACGAAATCATCCGCGCTAATGCGCCTCCGGCTCCTCCCACACAGGTCACAAATACCAATACTACACAACTAGCATACGAGCACACTAACTTAGGCAGACACGTGCGGTGTAGGATAAGATTGCGAAGACCCGATCAAGACCCGATCTACACACGACACGCTATACCAGGTGCTGGTACGTACCTGGACGTTATTCCCTGCCCCCCACGACAACGGCTAACTAGAGCCGAGGTCTGAGTCTCAGAGACGCCCTCTAGTAGAGCCGACCCCCTCAGGTTCGAATGGTCTAGAGGCTCCAGACGGAGAGGAGACTCCGTGGGGAGATGCCATCCGACTGAAATACCTCTAAAGGCACTTGGCATTTCTCTGCTTGAGGTCCCCTTAGGATCTCGCCGTCCCGAAACCCGGTGACGCTGTAAAGGTCATCTGCGACCAACAGTATACACACTCAAAAAAAGGAGATCCCATATAGGTAGTAGTCAACAAATTCGAGTGAATTGTTATAAATTTCAGTTTTTAGGTTGCGTGTGAAGGAAACGTTTTTATAATAAATACCAGAATTTTTATCTGTACGAGGATATATTTTACGTTTTTTATAGGTATGGTAGGTAACAAAAAAAAAAGATTTCTATCGTGCTACCACTGCACATGCAAAACTTTTCGTATTTGCAAAACTTAATTTCTTCTTTATATTTATTGCAGAGAATTATAGGAATATCCCCCATAAGATATATTATTTGAAACTTTCATGGTCACTAACATTATAGCTATTAACGGGATTGTTACCATGTACCTTGTTTTTTATGAGTCTCCGATGTTTCGGCACTATTGCAAGCGCCATGATCACGGAGAAATTGCGGGTAGATGTTATTGGCAGACATATCGGTCTACACTCTGACGTCGTCTTTTATTGCGCTCGATACACGATATACCGATAAATATCGGAGACCCATAAAAAACAAGGTACATGGTAACAATCCCGTTAATAGCTATAATACTCCACAAGAACCCTTCGTCCGTCTACGAGACCATAGTTTCGTAACTAGTTTCGATGAAGGAATTATTATTCCTTCTACGAAACTAGTTTCGATGATGAATTATTCTTCTTTGTACGAAACCTCGGTTACGTACAAATAATTTTTGCAAATTTTCAAAGAGGGAGTAGTAGTTTCAAAGCAAGTGGGACTAAAAAGTCTAAAAACTACATAAAAATAGGTTCAGTAGTCTATAAATGAATTAAAATAAAATAACTGTAGGCCACTGCCTAGAAATCATAATTATGCACGTATGATATGTATTTTAGGTTTTTGAACAATTTATTTTGTTTATTAAGAACTAAGATTCGCGACGCGACTGACATATTTTTATTTAGTTACAATTTCTGTTTTAGTTATTAATTTATATAACATAATTTAAAATATAAATTATTCTGTAATTTTGATGTTTCATTAATGACTATTATCTGATTTCAATAAATTCTAATTTGACTTACATAAAATTCCTTGTATATAAGACAAATATGTACAAGAAAAAAATATTTCTTACTTCGAGACCTTAACAACAAATTCCTTGTGCGTAACCATGATACATCTACGCGGTTTCGTATAAAGAAGAATAATTCTTCCTTCGAAACTAGTTACGTACAAGGAAAAATAATTCCTAGATTATCTTAGAATAATTCCTTCATAGAGACCAGTTACGAAACTGTGGTTTTGTAGACGGCCGAAGGGCATATGAATATATCCCTAGCCTGGAAATCAGGGAAAGCACTAAAATGACCGACAGCAGCCTAGTGGTGGCCAGGTTGAAATGGAGAGGGGTGCAATGTCAGATCACCTCCTCGTGGTGCACCCTGGGCAACCCGGCAGAGTTCTGCCGCGGGCTAAGAGGCTGACGAGCTCGTAACCCCGTACGTGGTGCGGGGCCGAGGGCCGCCGTCTTCTTCGGAGGATGGGGGCTGCGAGGAAGAAAACCTCTATAAAAAATTACCCTGGTGGGGGCGACAAGCCCATAGTGGGGGTACGTCTGTTTGCGGACGGGGCGGTTGTGATGCGAATTGTGTGTCACTTCCGGCCAACCCGTAACCCCGCACGTGGTGCGGGACCGGGAGCCGTCGCCCTTCGGGGCGGGGGCTGCGAGGAGAAAACCTCTTCAAAAACTAATTGAAGAAGGCCAGGTAGGGTCCCCCTCGCCCGGAAGAGGGGAATTCGTAATGAAAATGTCCGACAAAGTGATTTCTTTGTCATGCGATCCCGCTGACACCGGGCGCCCTGGGGAAGCTCCTACCCAGGGTGTTAAATTTTGCTAGCAGCGGCCCATATGATCCGGTTGGCCACCGGCGCCAGGGGGATACCGGTACCCCTGGTGTGAAATTAGCTACCGAGGCGTCTGTGGAGGAAGGAAAAAAAATAATGGCGAGTTGTAAAAATACAATAAGTCCTTAACCTTGTAGTAACCTTGGGCTGGCTCACGTATGCGGGGGAGCCAACAACCGCTCTGATGGGGTCAAAGCTGTGGAACCGCGAAAAAAACCAGCAGGGAACGGATCCAAACTGTCTCCCAAAGGTGACGTAGGTGGGCCTAGCTTGGCCGGAACGAAGCGTGGAGAGCCCAGCTCAGGCGACATCAACGAGCGACCGCTCTCGGTACAGTCAATGTCTGATTCGGTAGTGGGCAGTGCCGTCTTTTGGTCAGCGTCGGAAGTATCGGAAAGCGATAAAATTCAGGATGTCAGGAAGGTCAGGAATCAGGAAGGAGTATGACGCCCATACGAGCTTCCTCCGTCCTCGCGAAGACACCAAGTCGGGAGTCACGTCCCACGTACAACGACGTCATGGTGATGGCTGGTGGTGAGGCCTCTGATCCGGCAATAACTCCTGTCAGACGGTCCGCACGAATTGCGGGCAGAAAAAGGTCCAAGGAGGGCGGATTCTTTAGGAATCCCTTAGACACCGAGCCGGACCTAACGACGGAGGCTGAGTCGGAGGGAATGGTGGCGCCACAGGCCCCCAAAATACCCCGAACCAAAAAGGGGCGAGGAGGCCACTCTACCACCCACTATGTGGAGCATACGCAAGCTCGGCGAGAGCTGTACGAGGGCGAGGGTGAAGACGAAGAAGGGTCAGACTCTGACCCCGAAATAATTAGGGAGTACGAAAGAACGAAGCGTCGATCCTCCAAAAGTTCGGGGGAGTGGCACAATAAGCTCTCCGCAGAATCTCTCTGCGAGAAGGCAGAGGAGAGGGCGAAGACAGTTTTTAACTTTGTCCAAAAGTCGGGAAACTTTAAAGGGACCAGCGTCCGGGACATCAAAGAAGCGACTCAGTCGCTTCTGGATATTGTGAGGGAGGCTCTATCGCGCACCACCTCGGACGAAATTAGACGGCTAAGGGCCGACAATAAAAGATTACGCGGCCAAATCAGCTCCGTTAACGAGGAACTAAAGGCCCTCCGAAGAGATTTCTCGGGGGGGGGGGGGGGGGCCCGAACCGGAGCCGGCGGCTGTAGAGCGTCCTACTGAGCCTACAGGGGTGTCGAGGAGTGAGCTCCTTAAAGTTGTGGAGTTCCTCCAGAAGAACATGGTGCAACATGTAGGCAACGTGATCTCGTGAAGAGGACTAAGCCAACACCACTGATACAGGTATCGGTGATGGCGACCCCTAAAACGAGATCCGCAGCATCAGCCCCTTCCACAACTTCGAGCATCGGAACCACCTGAAGAGTGGATAACGGTGGGGAAAAAAGGGCGCCGGGAAAAAAAGAAGGCGCAAAAGTCACCGCCCCCGAAGAAGAAGGTGCCTCGGGCCCCTAAAACAATGGCCGTCGTGTTGGCCCTCAAGCCTGAGGCGGTGGAAAGGGGCCTCACATATGGACAGGCCATCGCCCAAGCCAGGTCGACTGTAAGTTTTGGAGAACTAGGCATCGGGCCGGCAAAGTTCCGGACCGGCATAACGGGGGCTCGTATTATTGAGCTTCCGAAAGAGACCTCCCCGGCGCAAGCGGACTCCCTGGCCGCTAAAATTGAGGAAGCTCTGGGTGATATCGCTAAGGTGACACGCCCAGTCAAGACAGTGGATATCCGAGTCGTCGGCATAGATGATTCGGTGTCCGCTACAGAATTAGCAGAGGCCATTGGGCAGTCAGGGGAATGCCTCGCCCGCCAGATTAAGGTGGGTAAAATACACACCGGATCACGGGGGACTGGTGCGGCATTTGTCTCGGTCCCTGTAGAAGTGGCGAGGCGCCTGGAGAAAGCCAAGCGCATCTCTGTCGGTTGGAGCTCCGCCTCGGTCCATATTTTGGAGGCTGGGCCAATGCGGTGCTTCCGCTGTATGGGAACTGGCCACCCTGTACAGCGTTGCCCCTCCGCTAAAGATGCTAAACGGCTGACGGCTGAGGCTAAACGTCCTACGCCACTGCCAACGTCCCTGGCGGCGACTACGGAGGAGCCCATGGAAACCAATGTCCAGCAGAATCCTTGAGCTCCTCCAAGTGAACGTAAACCACTGCGTCGCGGCGCAGGACCTGATGTGTCAGTCGGCGGTGGAGTGGTCCGTGGGACTGGTGGCCGTGTCGGAGCCATACTCAATTCCGCCTCAATCGCCGAATTGGCTAGCAAACACAAATGAGTCCGCCGCCATTATGCGGACTCCCGGCAGCACAGGCCCTTCTCTCGTTTTCAGAGAGAGGGGTGCTGGCTATGTAGCCGCCTCGTGGGGGGGAATTGTAGTGGTATCCACATATTTCTCCCCTAACCGCAGTCGGGCGGACTTTGAGGTCTACCTGTCTGCGTTAGAGGGGGTCGTACTGAGGGCAGCCCCCTTGCCGGTGCTAATAGCGGGTGACCTCAATGCCAAATCCACGGCGTGGGGGTCAACCACCATTGATGTAAGGGGTAGGGATCTGGGGGACTGGCTTCTATCCATGGGACTCCGGATCCTTAACGTTGGAAACACCCCGACCTGCGTCCGGTGGAACGGCTCGTCAGTGGTGGACGTGACCTTTACCACTCCCTCCTTGGCCAGTCGTGTGGCTGGCGAGTGGAGGACAAGGAGACCCTGTCTGACCACCAATACATCAGATATGGGATCTCCTTGACATCCCGCGGGGCTAATAACACCAGGAGCCCCACTATGAGCGCGTTCCCTAGGTACGCGCTCACGAAACTCCGCCCAGAACTGGTGGCGGAGGCGGCGATGGTGCGGGCATGGGCCGATGCGCCCCCCCACCTCGCCGGGGATGTTGACGGCATGGCGGAGCTATTTGCAGACGAAATGAAGGTTGTCTGCGGAGCCGCCATGCCGAGGACACGGGTCTGCCCCAGGAGGAGGCAGACATACTGGTGGACGCAGGAGATAGCCGAACTGCGTTCCACCAGCCTGAGGGCTAGGCGCGCCTATCTGAGGTGCCGTAGGCGCGCCTCAAGCACGCCCGACGACGAGGCGGAATGTCGTCGGGTGTATAAGGAGGCCAAGAAGGCCCTAAGGGTCGCCATTGTCGTGGCGAAGAGGGCGTCCTGGGAGAGCTTCATAGCTCTCCTAGACCAGGACTCCTGGGGGAAGCCCTACAAGGTGTCTCCGCCAACGCCCCCCCCACCTCGAACATGGAGGAGGAGCTGCTGGACCGGGTATTGGGGACTCTGTTCCCTGACCCGGGTCCGTTCCAGCCCCCGAGAATGCTCCCTCCCGGGGGCCTCTCTGAGGAGCCGATCTCACCCCCCCTCCCGTGTCGGACGCGGAGTTTGACGCGGTGAGGGACAGGCTCCGGGTCAAAAAGACGGCGCCAGGGCCGGAGGGGGTTCCACCAAAGGTGCTGGCCCTCGCCTTGGGGCCTCTGAAGGAGCGGTTCTTGGCGGTGCTGAACCTCAGCATCGCCGCGGGCCGCTTCCCCAGGAGGTGGAAGCAGGGGCGGCTCGTCCTTCTCAGAAAGGACTGCCGCCCGGAAGACTCCCCTTCCGGCTATAGGCCAATTGTGGTGCTCGACGATGCCGGGAAATTCCTCGAGAAGATCCTGGCTCTCAGAATCGTCGAGCACCTAGAGGGGGCGGGCCCGAACCTGGCCGAATGCCAGTTCGGGTTCAGGCGCAATCGGTCCACAGTGGAGGCGGTGGCCCTTTTAAAGGGGTGGACCGTGGTGGCCACTGCGCGGGGTGAGGGTGTTATTGCAGTGTCGCTAGACATCCGCAACGCCTTTAACAACCTCCCCCACGAGTGTATCATGGAGGCACTCAGGTTCCATCGAGTGCCTCCATACCTGTGTACCTACGAGGGGCCTGACGGGCGCATCCGCTCGCGGGCCATGGCCGCAGGTGTGCCCCAGGGTTCAGTGCTGGATCCACTGCTCTGGAACCTGGGGTACAACTGGGTGCTGCGAGGCAGCCTCCTTCCTGGAATGGAGGTTGTCTGCTTCGCCGACGATACTCTTATCGCGGCGAAAGCAAAGGAGGTGGAGGATGTGGTGCGCCTAGCGTCGGTCGGCACATCGATGGTCGTCCGACGCATCCACCTCCTGGGCCTGGAAGTGGCCCTCGACAAATCGAGGGCCATGATGATCCATGGCCCACGTCGCAGTACCCCTCCGGGGCTCCATATCCGGGTGGAGGGGGTCCGACTACCGGTCGAGGGAAGCATGAAGTACCTCGGCCTGGTACTAGATCCCCAATGGAGTTTCGAGGAGCATTTTAAGCTCCTCACTCCACGGCTGTGTGCCGCTGCAGCCGCACTCGGCAGGGTCCTCCCGAACGTGGGGGGACCAGGTACTGCGTGCCGTCGACTGTATCACGTGGTGATACGGTCGATGGCACTTTACGGAGCTCCGGTTTGGGCTGAGTGCCTCAAACCCCGCACGAGGGCCCTCTTGCGACGTCCGCAGAGGGTCATCGCGACCCGGGCCGTGCGGGCGTACCGCACGGTCAGCCACGGCGCCGCCTGCGTGCTCGCGACGCCGTGGGACCTCGATGCGCTGGTTATGGCAGAAATGCATCGAGGTCGGGTCGAGGCCAGGGAGCGGGGTGAAAGACTTGCCCCAGCAGAGCTGAGGCAGGTCCGTTCCATCGCCCAGAGCGAAGCTTTGCGGCGATGGGATGAGGCACTCGCCCATGCTAGCGCCGGCCACCGGACGATTGAAGCCATTCGTCCGGTGTTGGAGGAATGGTTGGGTCGCCGGCGCGGCGGCCTCACGTTCCGCATGGTGCAGATCTTGACCGGGCATGGATGCTTCGGTCACTATCTGCACCGTGTCGCACGTCGGGAGGAGACGCCGCAATGTCATCATTGCGGCGCCCCGGACGACACGGCCGAGCACACCTTATTGGAGTGCCCGGCCTGGCGACACCAGCGCCGTGAGCTGATTGCGGCGCTGGGATGCGGAGCCCTCTCGCTGCGGAGCATGGTGGAGGCGGCCGAGAGGGAGCGGGAGGATGATCCTCTGGCCGCTCCCTCCCGCCGAAGGAGGACGGGTAGGAGAGGACGGCGACGCGCCCTGGCTGCGCCCGTCCCATGACCCTTCCCGGGGGGTCCCTCGCTGACCGGCATGGCGTTGGCTGTGCCGGCCACCGACGGACCTCGTGACGGCAGCCCCCCCTTGTAGTTCTGTCTGGCAAAGAGGGAGGCGGCGGAGGGAGCTACACGGGCACGCCCAAGTAGCCCTCCGCAGCGGACGGGGGGCGGTACGGTGGGCATTAGGCCGCGTACTCAACCTCCACGCGCGGGCCTACCTGCGCACGTCTGCGGGGTCCCCGTGATACCCCGGGAGACCCCTGCCGTGGAGCCCCGGCTAGGCCGGGAGGCTGCTAGGTGCGGAGACGCGGAGGAATCCCTAAACGGGGATCCCGCGGCTTCGCGCTAAGCAGCTTAGAGGGTATTCGCAGGACTTTTTTAGCGGATATTACGCCGTAAAGCGCCCGTAAGAGTTGCGGGGTCCTCGGTGGACAGCCACTGGGGCGCCCGTAAGACTTGCGGAAGCCAGGTGTGAGGTCCGTTCGGCGGTGTGCCTCTTAAAGGCGCCGTCGTCTGTAAATAGCATTTTTTACCTGCGTAATAAAAAAAAAAAAGGTTGAACTGGAGATAGGCGGGTCTCTTGAACAGGAGAGGCGACGGCATGATGGACTCCAAAGATTGCCACCAAGAACTGACTAAAGAAAAGTGGGAAGGCATCCTATGCGAGGGATTGATGATATCATCAAGATAGTGGACAAAACCTGGATGAGCATAACGAGGAATCATGTAGTGTAGGGAGACTATGAAGAGGCCTATTCCTGGCAATCGGTGAACCGGGGCTTATTGATGTGCTGTGAAGTAGGAATCTCCTATTATTCTGGATAAATAAACTGGTTTCCTCGAACAATTTTCACATAAAGCTTTTTCTAATAAGATACGTCAAGTCTAAGTTACGTTGTTAATTTCACATTAGTGAACAATTTTCTTTTACGACACCATGTAGTCAATAGCTTTAAGTGATTAACATAAAACACCTTAATAACATGCCACATTGAAATTTGCAAACAATTTCACCGCAACAAAATCACCCTAACCCCGGACACCACAGTCTCATATTATGTATCAACATGAAGCTCTTCTCAGGATATCGTAATTGACATGTCAGGCGCAGTCGCGGCCCACAAAGGGGCAGAGATTGTAGAAAATTTGCCGCGCCGATAATGTCTGACGGCAAAATAGGATGGCTTGACCGTCGGCTGAGGGCTGCGGCGGACAATGTCTGAATGCAGATGTTACAGTCCCGTCAAGGGGCATTTATCTTTATGACTGGCAAAAGGCGGCGTTTGATACCGTGATAATAGAACGGACATTTTTATAGTTAAAGCTAGTTTTATTTGTTCTAGCAAAAATTTTAGGAAATAATATTGCAAATGTACCCTACTTCCTACTAATGTTATAAATGTGAAAGATTGGATGTTTGTAACTCAATCACGCAAAAACTACTAAACGGATTGGGATAATATTTGGTACGCATATAGTTTATGACCTGGATTGAGACAAAGGATACTTTTTATCCCAGAAAAAAATATTTAATGCCGCTAGTAGTTATATAAGTTGTGAGAATTATTAATAGGAAAAAAAAATAATTGTGCTTTTACTATCTGCGAATAAACACACGAGTAATGAAAATATTATATATATAATTTCAATGACATTGTATCAAATCTTCGAATCTCGTATCTCATCGTTATTTTGCAATTGTTCCATATTTATTGTGTTCAGATTAGCATTCATACAAGAGACTTATATAAGTACTACATATCGGCACGGTAATAAATTACCGTCAAATACAATCGGTCAAGATCATAACACTCCTTTTCTTTGCTGCAGGCAGGTACCTAAAACATATTGTTGCAATTATATAGTAATATGACTTAACTAAAAGTAGCAACGCACTTATCACCGTTACGAAAGTTTCGCTATCAAAGTTAATAGCCTATAATCATAAAGTACTTACTTATGAGCATAAGTAGATAGGTACAGTCAAGTCAAACACCTTACAGAAAATCACAGTAAAATAACAGTACCTTTTGGTAGTGTTGTGCTTCTGTCGGTGAGTAAGGTTCCAGGGCTCTCGGGGTAGGGGATTGGGTCATAGTAGGCAACGCTGCCAGTGGTATTTTTGGTATCACAAGCGTCTATAAGCTATGGTGGCCGCTTAACACCAAGCTAGCCGAACGATTGTTTGCCACCCTCATAAAAAAATGGTTCGAGTCCCGTCTGCTGACTGGTACGCGTGGATTTTTTTCTAGTTACAGTTTCTTTAGATTTAAACATCAAGCAGTTACATGCTTAAAAAAATTATAACCATAATTGCTATTTCTTCTTTCTTATGTTTAATACTTGTAAAGTATTCATTTGACATTGTGAGTTACCTACAATGCGAAGAGATGGCGCTACCTTGCAGCTTAAGAATGGATAGAGGAATTTCAATTGATCAGTGTATTCGCCCGGATAGCGAAGGGTGCGGGTTCGAGTCCCGTCTGTTGCCTGGTCCGCGTGGATTTTTTCTAGTTTTATTTTCTTTAGATAAAAAAATACTTTAGTTTGTGTCCATTTTCTCGAAATGTAGTTTAAACATTCGGTTTGCAATAAAGTCGAAATCCCCAGATCCATTAGCATTGAAATATCAAGTATAAATCTCTAAGAATTTAATGACATTTCTAAATAATAAAGTCCGTAATAAATATATCTTTTCTATTTTCATTTTTCATAGAACATTATATCAGTGCCGTACTTTGGCTAACGCAGACAAAAAAACGAAAAAAATAAAATGAAAAATATTTATACTGTAACCAAATTAAATTAACATAAATGTCATTGAAGCACTCTTTAATGTAAACATATACCTGTGTTAGAACGCCTCGCTCTCTCGTATCATACATCACAACTTGTTTACAAAAAAAGTATCTCAAACTAAATAATAAAAGAAAACAAAACAATAAATAACAAAAATCATGTACACATGAAAATCATGTAAGCTTAACCTCATACGTCAACTTGCATAAGTTTCTCCACTTCGTCATAAATGAGATTCAAAAGCCATTCAGTTACTTGTTTCTTTAGCTTACATGATGATAATAAACAAATGTTTATCAGTCTATTAACCCTATTTTATATCAAAGATGATTGCATTTTATACTGGTGTCTAGCAAAAGCAGTTTTAGTGACTGGTTTGATATCAACATATTTTCTCCTCTTATTGCGATTTGGATCAAACGAAACAGTTTTATGTTTCTCCATTAATAAATGTAAAATATAAAGTCTTCTAACACTTAGGAGTTTACACAAAGAGTACATTTTTTTTGTTGAAAATCTGTAGGGTTTATTGTACATCACCTTTAACAGTGATAGTTGGCCACGTTCTAACTCTAAAAAAATAAATTTAGAGGCACCACCCCATGTTGGTATACAATATGTCAGGACTGATTGAGCAAGGGCCGTGTATACCTGGTTCAGTAATTTGTTTGTGGCGATATAACTAAGGGACTTAAAAATCCATATCATCTTTCGTATTCTGCTATTTTCATTGAACATTAAATCAGTGTCGTACTTTGGTTAACGCAGACAAAGTCACCGGCGGCCGCTGGTTATAAATACATTTATTTTATTATACCTACATTATGCCTTAAGATGTCTGGATGTTGATGTCCATTATTGAACCATAGGTGGATCCCAAATTAGAGCACGTGACTGTACCATCATTTCTGCTTCGCCTATCTAGTGATAAAAATGCCTAAATTCGTAATACCCGAATTCACACTTACGCCGAAATCATATGGATTATCCGCGCCGAGTGTACTGATAAGTTAATTCTGAAGGGAAATGGCTTTTGCTGATCCAATTCACTATTTGCGAGTATTAAGCTCCAATAGTGTCCGTTACACAATTGACAATACATTCTATCGAGGAGCTCTTACATAAATAAGCATAGTTCAACGTATGTGCGTAGATAACTGCCATAATTAAGTGTTTCATTGTATGATAGGCTATAGATTATTTTGTTGTAACTTAGATGAACGTAATTGAATTATTTTGTCATTCATAATTGCTTGTAACAGAGCATTTCAAGTAATAAAAATTAAAACTGAGTAAACCATATTCTTTTTGGTATATTAGCAATGTATCTTTTACCTACACATAGTGAAGTGAATAAAATGTTTTTTTTTATGATTAATTTGTAATTTTTAATGAGTTATATAGATTGAATATCTTTCGAAATTGCCCTTTTACGGTTTGACTCTTATTCTGCGATTTGGCTATCATTATCAGCCTATTTCCTACTGCTGAGACTTGAGATATGGCTTTGGCTTTGTCTATGTCAGTTCCAAAACAAGTGACAGGGACTAACACTATTTACCGTGATCTATAGTCGAATGACTCAACTATAGACAGACTTCAATTATTACACTTGGATAGTATTCAGTCTTCCTTTTCCATCGACAGGGAAAGTATATGCCCCTGAGCAGTGGGGACATTAATAAAGAAATGTTTACGAAATCATTTATTTATAACATTGAACACAATTATTTTTTGCAGTATTGGTACTTATAAATATCCGTAATATCGATTATTTGGAGTTGTTATTCTCAACGTACGGTACGTGCCTGTAGAAACTTTATTCTCCCTTTGAAAACTGTTGATGTGTATATCAGCAATCAGTTCACCAACTGTAACTTTGATTATATTTGCATTGTTTTTGGCCCATAACTTGGTAGACTTTAATGGTACTGCCACCAAATTACCTCAACGTCATTATAAAGTTTAGAACTGAAATAAACAAGGAAGATGATGTAGTAAATAAGGCAGGTACTTCAGATTTAGATGGGTGTTTGCCGTGATGACGGGTTAAGGTACTATTGGGGTAAAAGTAAAGAGTTAGTGACTTAAAAAAGGGGATTAATTTTCACCTTGTAACTCTGATATGAGTATACCAATTTTAATGTATTTTTCTTTTCTTGAATGAGTTTTATTTCAAAATTTAAAATGTAAAAAAGCACGACGGATTTGCCAAAGAAAGTACTGAATAATATCAAAATATACAAGTTTATAAAAGTGGTCTACAGTCGAGGAATGGTTTATAAAAAAATCCCCCGCTTTGCAATGAATTTTATTAATTTTGTTAATTCGGTGTTTTTTTTGTAAATTATTTATTTTGTATTTTTAGTGTCGAAAGCGTTCAGGTTTTGCAGCAAAGGTGAAATTTTAATAAACAGCTAAAATAATTTTCAACAAAAACTTCAAAAAATGAAAATATAGAGAGAAGAGATTCTATCTGCTCCACTTTTATTTTTAAAATAAATATTTGTAACTACTTTTATTCATGTGATGATCCAAATTTTTTAAGGAATTTAGAAGCTATAATTGAATAAAGAAATGATCGCTCAAACAGTTGAAACTTGAAAACATCAAACTATACCATTTATTTTGTATTTGCTTAAAGGAATCAAAATTGAATATTAAACGAAAGAGTTCAAGTGTAATCATACGTTTCGGTATTCAGTGAGGACGCACACGTTCATCGGATGAGAAGCTCGAAGGCATTCGGGTCACCAATTCAATGGGGCGTTACTTTTTTCGCGCCAAAAACTGCAGAGTGATTTGCCTCCTCATGTTGCTTTGACGTTTCATTTTCGTGGTGATCGGTCGTTGATCGCTGCAATGCACGTGACATCATTTCTTACTGTTGCAAAGTGAACTTTCCTATTTATTATTAAAGCACAATGATAATACAAATATAATATTAATGCAATTATATTTTATTATTTTTTAGGCATTAAATTGCTATACATAAAGAAAATTTCATCAGAAAAATTTTATGTTCATTCGTGTTTAAAAAAAAATACTTACAATAATATCCTTTTTACGTCGAGGCTTCATCATCAATTTCAATTCGAAAGACAGTGGAACTAAGCTTGTTGCCTTACCAATATTTAATACGTATTAATGACTTCGTCTTGAGTAAGATGTGTTTGAGATTGGGGAGCTCAATGGCGCAAGTGGTTAGCGCGTTCGGCTGCGATCGTTGAAGTTAAGCAACTTTCGCAGTGGTCGGTCATTGGATGGGTGACCAAAAATTTAATATCTCGAGCTCCTCCGTGCTTCGGAAGGCACGCTAAGCCGTTGGTCGCGGCTGCATCTGCAGTCGTTAACACCCACCAATCCGCACTGGGCCCGCGTGGTGGGTCATGGCCCAATCTCCCTATTCCATTCATAGGGAAGGCCTGTGCCCCAGCAGTGGGGACATTAATAGGCTGATGATGATGATGATGATGATGAGATTGGGAGGTTGGGAATATTTTATACGATACATACGGTTTGTTTTTTTTTATACGGGGCACAACTGGAATTTAACACACCCCACCTGATATTAAGTAATTACCGCGAGTGATACACCTGTGATATTTTAAATATGACGGAGATTGTAGTAATAGTAGAGTACAGTATCAACTCATAACATCAACTTGGTGCAGCTTGAGGAAACTTTAGTATAAATGTTATCTGCAAATAAGTGACAGATTATTGTCAATTGTAACCGGACTGCGAGACCTTCGTTACGTGAGAAAACTCTACTTTGCACATCCTTAATTGCCCATTGATAGAAGTTTAGTTACAAAATACGCCATTACAAAAATCATAAAAAAACAGACATCAAAAGGTTCTTTATGTCGCTACAAATCAGTGTTGGAACGGTAACATAGTTATGAACAATAGGTGAACTTAAAAGCCAATGTTAATTGAATCGGCTTCAGATTGCAGGATGCCGGCGCTGCGGTAATTGCGTTAGCAGCAAACATGTCCAGGCTCTCAGTTCCTAACAGAGTCCATTCAGTGTGACCAAATTTTTTGTGAAAAAAAAGAATGGACCACGTTTTTTTAAAAAAAAAACTGTATTTGACGAAAATTGTATATAGGAATAATGCTATGGGCATGTTTTCATTTTTTTTTAATTTATTTAAAAAGGGTGGCAAATAGGCGTATGACCCGCCTACCTATGGTAAGCGGCTACCATTGTGGACGCTTGCGATTTCGATAATATCACTCGCACCGCTGCCTACCCTGAGCCAGTGCCCTACGCCGGAGCCCTTGAAACTATCCACCGACAGAAACACAACACTACCTATAGATTTTACTGTGATTATTTTGGGTGAAGGTTACTTCCCCAGACAGGCGCTCCAATTCTAGGAGAAAATCTTCTATGCCCTTACCTCTCTTGCTGCTGTTGCTGATGCAGTAGATCTGCTTTTTGCTCTGAATTCATATTGTACCACTCCTGGTATTCCTGCGATGATAATAAAGCTTCCTTATATTTAACATCGATATTAAGGTTTCATATACCAAGCAACCGCCCGTGCCTTCGTCTGCGTTAGCTTTAGTTTTTTGGTAATCCTACAGGAACCTATTTTTTTCCTAGATAAAAAGTTACCTTTGTTTTAATCCAGGTAATTTAATAAATGAGGAGCTGGCGAACAAAATGGTATAATTACAAAAAAATAAATTTTACAGGAGCTTTATAAAATTGAATGACATTGGTACCTACAGTGAGCTTTTGGCATGGTTTTTAATTCATAAATTTAGTAATTTTAACACTGTTTTAGGCGGTTTTGATTGAAAATTATTTGTGATTCAAATTCAACAGGTCCGAAACCTCCAGACTGTAAAAAAGATGTAGTTTGACCACCATGCGTAATTATACCGTTTTGTTCGCCAGCTCCTCAAATATATGTGTGCCTTTCATTAAAATCCGTTCAGCTGTTTCTGTATGATTGAGTAACAAACATAAAAACTTTCACATGTATAATTAAAATTAGTAGGATTTTGCTAAGTACTACATAAAATACATTCATACTACTATCTCTCACCTCTCTACACGTATCGCAACAGCTACTGTACAGCCAACTTCCGGTAGAAGCATTAAAGTAGTTAAATAAACAGAACTCAAGAACCAGCAACAATTAAATCGCCGTCTCCACTTTATTAATTAACAAAGAACAAGGCTGCCAGCTAAGTACACCTCGCAGATCGCATTCGCCAAGGCGAAAAAAAAGTTATCCTTATCTAGAGAGGTGCTCGAAAAGACACTGGGGCTTTCTCTTATTCAGTTGAATAGCGAGAACCAATTATAACTTGTAAGTAATCCTCTTATCTGAAACTCTGCGAGTCGACGCTGGCCGCCACTCAGAATATAATTCAGTTTATCCATATTCAATATCAGATCGTGCGACGTGGGGCAAATAGAGCGGCACGAGTGAGAATTATTATTGGATAAAGCTCGTCTCTTTCTTCCCCGTCTATTTTCAGTGCCCATCGGACTGTGATAATTTACGTGTAGTACTCGATATTGCGCCGTGAATATGTCTATTTGTCTTCCTGTTTTATAAGTTTATGTTCAGGTTGGTTAAGCCTTGGCGACCAGCATCGGCAACTCATTATCACAATTTATTAATATACAACACAATTCAACAGATAGTCAAATGGGTTCATGATAGTTTTTTTTTTATTTCACCCTCTTTTATTTAACCTTTCTCATCAAAATAAAGGTTATATAGTTGGTCAACCTTAAAAGATAAACATATGCTGTCGCGGACATTTATAAATAATTTTTATATATTTTTTTATTTCAAATAGAATATTTTTCCGGTTTTTGCAACATATTTCATTTGTTATATGTGTATGTGTAAATGTTGTATAGCCTATAGCCTTTCTCGCTAAGTATACTATCCAACACAAAAATATTTTTTCAAATCGGACCAGATTTCCTGATATTAGCGCGTTCAAACAAACAAATTTCAGCATTATAATATAAAATATAAAATTTTCGTGTCACGGTGTGCATAATTGAACTACTCCGACACGGCTCGACCGATTTTCGTTAAATTTTATACGCATATTCAGTAGGTCTGAGAATCAGACCCTATTTTCATCCCCCTTAATGTTAAGAGTGTCCAACCTTAAATTTTTTTTGACAAATTTTATTTAGATGATACGTTATACAATAATTCTTAATTACAACTCTAAATTTTCACCCTTCTACCACCAAATACTATTTTTTATGGCGTTACGAAGTTTGCTGGGAGAGCTAGTATTAGTATGGATTAAGGTCCACTTACAGAAAAGCTAAATCTTGATTAAACTAAAACTAGATTTAGCCCATAAAAGAAATTCAAAATGTATAAACCAGATTTAAAAATTTACATTATTGTTGCACGAGCCTAAATGTTTTAATGCAGATTCTGACACAAGTCTGATATATTAATCATACTGATCGAATAGATCTTTTGCAAGTTTGCTATCGTGCGTTCAACACAAAATGTTTACTTTACTTCAAAAACAACCACCAGGAATAAACATCGCGACGGAGTACAGTGTTGCGCTTCTACGCTACGTGACGTGAATGCTTATCGTTTTATAACGTAGCTACGGATTCTCTGTCACCTGTTACTCTTTATCAAGTACCTACTAAGATTGTTAGTTATAGGACGCACTATTTGTCCACTAAGTAGATAAAATGTTTTAGTGGCACAAATACTATTCAATAAAATCCGTTTTTATGAATGAGAATCATCCTTTAATTATTTTAAATTTAATGTGCTGGACATAATATGGAAACACTGTTACAATCAAGTTTTAAGTGTTTAACGCGGTGTTTTAAATTATACTTATTACATTTCTTCTTTTACATTTACAAATTATGTTTTACAGAATCTGAAAATGTGTTTTAAATTTTACCATATTTACCAATAAATTACAGTTTCAGTGATAATGCAAAATATTGATTTTGCATGTTTTTTTGTTCTTTAACAATGTTAATATAAATAATTCTAAATAAAGGTTGAGCTTGTTTTTTCTACATATTATTTAGTAGGTACTTAATTATTAAGTTTCCGACGACGATGCTGTGTTGACGTGTTCATAAAATAAATTACAACATTTTCTCGTAAGAAAGAAATAACAATTTTCAACGGAGTAAAGTGCTGTATTTGAAACAATAGAATAACGTGTGTTTATCAATTTAGAAATCGAGATCTGCTTGGCGAAGCATATTGAATAAGGAATATGCTGAAGTCATTTTCTGAAAGAAAAAACATTTATAAATCTAATGCCTTAAAATATATAAGTTTTGTTAAACCACACACGAGTTACGTATCTCATATAATACTGTATCTTTACTATGAGTCTTACAAAATAAAATTCTCGCTAGCGACACCGTAACCGATTAGTACAGTACCTGTAGTAGTTACTCAAAGAACGGAAAAAGAAATGAGTGTATTCGATATCAATACACGTTTTAAACCCCTTAATATTAGTACGAGAGCCCATAACACTAAACCTAGCTCGATAAGACTTCCAAATGATTAAATTAGTCACGTAACTTTCAAAGCTTCACATTACCGTACGTGTGCGTAGCTATAAATTGTTGTAACATTTGATAGAGTATACCAATTTTAATGAAATAGAGATCAAATGTTATCTACTCGCATGCGTAATCGATTAGTACAAATCAAAAGGAACCGAATGATTGCTGACAAAACTGAATTGAAACGCCGAATCCAGCTGCGTGAAGAGCAATCTTCAATCGCTGCAGCAACCACTTTCACCACTATTTGGAAAATGCAGCAGTGGTTTTTCTTACACAGAAATGAATGATCTTTCAGATGAGCTGAAATTTAATTATTTTAGGGGAATCCTTCCATCGCTGCGGCCTCTCATAAGGCCAGGCATGAGGGCTTGCAGCACTGCATTTTCGTATCATCCTAACCCCTAGCTTGTTTCAAGTAACAAACGAAGCTTGGGAGTGCCCTTAAAACAGATATTTATTGTCTTTTAATGGGCCCGCAGCTTTATTTGCATTTCAGCATCTTCATTTCGCGTTCCTCAATTAATGACATGCCTCACTATTTATATAATATCATCTGAGAAACTTATCGCACTAGGTCAGTCGTAGCTCATAGATTATATAGCAATTTGGCACCATGCGTCTGAGTCTGAGGTCTCAAGCGTTTCATAATTGTAAGATGTCATCGAGATAGAACGAGACGGGCTCGTAAATATCTAAGCGACTGTAGTGAACGTTTTAGAGTAATGACGTTACAATAATATTTCCAATACTCACACCAATTAGCCCAACTCCAAAGTAAGCACTGTAAGGCTTGTGTTATGGGATACTAGGGTAACAGATGGAATACATATACTGTACATTTATAAGTGTATTTATATAGGAATACAAACATCCATGACTGGTGTACAAATGCTCGTATTCGTCACACAAACAACTACTCCCACCGGGACTCGAACCTGGGACCTCTCGAGTCAGCGACACCATGAAACCCAGTGTGCAAACCCCGCGACCACGGAGGTCGTCTTTATATGTTATGATTCTGATATTAATGTTAACTTTCATTACCTAACGTACTCCAGCAACTCACGGTAGAGCTACTGACGGCATTATTTATACTCACGCTTGAGAAGGTTTTGATTGAAACCTCCTGGAATCCAGGCATCTGTAAAGGCAGAGGCCGCAAGCATCGTTGCATTATTAGAACTAAGTAAGGGCGGATGTTCGGACCTGCGTCCCAGAACCTTATATTCCAACATGCGTCGTGAATTCCACTTAGCTGTAAATATATATATATATTTATTATTACATACTTTTATAATAGTAATCGTAAAAGTTTGCATGTTTTGATGTTTATTATTCAATCGGGCAAAACAACTAAACGGAATTGGATGAAATTTGGAATTGTTGAAAACCTTGGTGGAGACAAAAGATGGGTAACTCCTTTTTATTCTGCATGCCACCATTTTTACATAATATAAGACAAAACTAATATGTAAATGAAATGACATAAAAAATATTGCCTTTGCGCCGCTAACCTCAGAAATAATATGGAGGAAAGCCAATGTCTATCAGAAGTAATAAATATAAAGACATATTGAAAGCGATAACATCATATGCCAATTTATTATATTTCAACAAAACACATTGAAACTTAGTTCCAAACCGCTGTTTTTATCGCATGTGAATATTTATTGTTGCCTAGTAAAAATGTATCAACGTGAACTTCGATTTTCATATTTTCAACCGTTGAAAGTATGGTTCGTTTAAAAAGTTAATATCAATTGGTAAGTATTTCAAGTAACATAATACGCTCGCTAAATATTTAAGTAGTTTCTTCAAAAGCCAACATTTCTTTCTACGTCTAAATCTAAATATCTGTAGGTTAGTTTTACATCAACCTACACTAGCATCTGAAAACTACTAATAATAAGCATAATTATTGATCACATAGAGTAAGATCCAAAGACAAAATGTGGATAATCTAACTTGCTAACTTGTGCTGTGGGCCAATTTTCAGTTATCAGATGGCATAGGCACGCAAAAAATTTACTTACAGTCTGAGGAATGATTCTTACGTATGTTGTTCAGAATATTCTAAACAATTTAAAATTTATACTGCTGGACACATTCTGTCAGCAGTTTTTATTGTTAGACACTTTTAATATTTAAAGCAAAAAACTATTCGAATATCCATATTTTGTCCATGAGAAAATAAGTAAGGTCTGGTGGTCTTGGCATTCTGTACTAACAGTATCTAATAAATTAATAAACAAGAAATATGATGTCATGTCATTTGGTGTCGATTCTGGTATGATTCTCTATACTTAAGACTAAAGGAGATTGCTCAAATTGGCCCAAATGCACAAAAAATATTGACATACATGGTAATTCTTGGTGTAATTAATAATTTAATTTACAGTCATTAGATTTCAACGGACACCTTTGTATAATATATTTACTTTAAAAAGGACTTTTAATTTTACCGGTTTGGAAAACATACGAATCATTTTTAATGGTTATGGGTCTAGTAACATTCAGCCAAAGACTGATCGAAGTTGTTTATATAACATAAAAACAAATCTATTTTGTAAAGATCGATAAAATAAATCATTGTTTTATTACACTGTGGTATTAATATCCACAACTATATTATCGTTTTCACTACATGCAAATGTGCTCAGACAATTATTATAGATGGTAGGCGACATCATAAAGTCTATTGCTAACATTTTTCGGCAAACACCTCCACAAACACATTATAATCTGTATATATGTTAGACTTTAAGGTATCTATCTATAGGCCTACGTTGCCTGACTATAAATTAATCATCATCATCATCATCATCATCAGCCTCTTAATGTCCCCACTGCTGGGGCACAGGCCTTCCCTATGGATGGAATAGGGAGATTGGGCCATGACCCACCACGCGGGCCCAGTGCGGATTGGCGGGTGCTAACGACTGCAGATGCAACCGGGACCAACGGCTTAACGTGCCTTCCGAAGCACGGAGGAACTCGAGATAGAAAATTGTGGTCACCCATCCAGTGACCGACCACTGCGAAAGTTGCTTAACTACAACGATCGCAGCCGAACGCGCTAACCACCTGCGCCATCGAGCTCCTCTTAAATTAATAAATAAATAAAATTAAAAGGTGTGATACATACACTAAAAATCTAAAATATGGTTATATTAAAAACATAACAAAAATAATGAAGCTACTAATGAATATATATGGCTATAGATCCTAAATCTCTTAGCATCCTTTGGTTAACGAGAGTTTAAAAATTCTCTGTAATCTGTGGCTCAATCACAATCATCACACAGTTTCTGTCACCCCCACGACAACGGCTAACTAGAGCCATGGTCCGAGTCTCAGAGACGCCCTCTAGTTGAGCCTACCCCCTCAGGTTCGAGTGGTCTGGAGGCTCCAGACGGAGAGGAGACTCCCCCCGTGGGGAGACGCCATCCGACTGGAATACCTCCAGAGGCACTCGCCAATTCTCGGCTTGAGGTCCCCTTAGGATCTCGCCGTCCCCAAACCCCGGTGATACCTTTACAGCGTAAAGGTCATCTGCGACCACGGAGTACCCCCACTAGAGTCCGCATCACGCAAATTTTGTTTGAAATCAAAATCGCCAAAGTCGGTGGCGTGCAGGGAGATCAGCCGCGTTGTGATTGGACACGTCAAGGTCAGATGATATACTCAGTGCAGCGAAGTGATGAGGGTAAGATCGATTTTAGAAAATATCGATATTTTATATCGATAAATAAAGAACACCCGGCATTATGTGCCAAAGTTGTATATTTTTTTAATTTTTTTATCTGTGTTTCATAATTGGGTAACGTAGTCTGGCAATATTTGTCATCAGCAGCTAGCTGTCAATGTCAAATACGTAGGTTTGTCAATATAACCTCTATATGTAGCCGGGTCGTCAAGAGAAATAACGGATAAAAAGGCAATCACAGCAGAGAACATTTACAATCACAGTACGCGGGAGCGAATGATTTTTTTGTTTGTATTTTAGGATTGTCAAATTGACATTTGGTTTTTTATTTAGAAAAAGCAAAGGAATCATGGTATTTACAGTCACTTGAGTAATATTTTAAGTAAAATTCTGTCCCTTGAAGATTTAGGGTTTCCTTATCAAAAAATATTAATCATTATATAACTTCTTTCCACGATTCACTAAAAATAAGGCAAAATTAGTTTTATGTAGCAAATAATTTTGGCTTCATTTTGAGACCAAATTCAACTGTATACAAGTTTAGCATTTTTTCTATGAAAAGTGCCGGATCTCCATTGTACAGAGGCCTAGTACTTTGGTGCGCTAGTGTAGCTATGCGCAAACATACTCTCTCCACTTTCTTCCAGCGTTCTAATTACATGACGCGACTAGTAACTACATACTAAATAAAATATAAGCAACACAAAAAACACGTAAAAAAAATATCTAGATAGACAATAATATGCTGTTTATGACAACTTTTAAAACTTAAGGCGCCTTACTCATCGGCTCGGTACAGGTTCGTTTTGTTTGCGGGAGTGACTGTCAGTGGTAAAGTGACGAGAACATATGTAACTGTTTACAGTTGGAGTCAAATCTTTACGTTTAGTTGCACTTATCCAAAGTGCCTTCATCTTGGCACATTTTGGAAACCTATGAAATAAATAAAACACGTAATGTTACTGTATTTTGATTCTCGCATCAGTCTGTAAGATATCACCTTAAATATCTCTTTAAAGATTTTGCTCGTTGCTGTTCTCGTGAAAGGCACATGCGATATACAGACTTAATGAATTTAACATTAATACGGTGACGTCCGTGGCTCTTGACTTAGCACACGCAAAATAACCTAAGTATAACCAAATTATTGATTTGAAGGAACTTGGTAAATACTTATCAAATTTTATGCTAGCTACCACCCGCGACTTCATCCACGTTAACTTTAGTTTTTTGAAAATCCTAAAGAAACCTGACATTTTTCCGTTATAAAAAGTATTCTATACAACGATATTTTATACCCTAGATACGACAACATGTACAAAATCGTGGCCGAAACGTGACCAAAAGGTACATTTGACGATTCACAGAGGTCCGTAAGATGATCGCGTGGTCAAAATCAATGTAATGCATTATTTAAAAAAAAGTCACCTTTAATGCATACGGCATAAGCTCTTAATTAAAACGCATGCATCAAAGATTTATGGCAGTTCAAAATGCAAGTTCCTAAAATTTTACGACTTATTGTTATATGCGAAAGAAAATAGACCTTATTTTTTTTAACTTTTCGCGCTCAATTCTGAATGTGCTGTTAGCTATTATAGCAGGTACAGACCGCGAAGAAAAAAGACGGCTATAGGGCGACGTATAACCGACCATGCTTTTGAGTATCACAAATATGTTATATTAAATCAGTTTATAGTAAGTATTACAATAAAATTTGCTTCAAATGCGTTAAATTTATAATAATAATAAAAACGTTTATTTGGCTCAAATTATATAAATAACTTATTGTATTACATAAAGATGACTATGTACCAAATTATAAAAACATTAATTAGATACCTGTCGAAAAAACAACACTTTACGTACTATTAGTATTTTTTTCGCAGTTTTACGGAGCTCTGCGGCATTTTGACTTTTCATCGGTCCGCGCGTGACTGTAAACCAAGAAGTGCTTGAATAAAGTTTAAGCACTTCTTGATTGGGACACATTTTGAGCGCTCGTGGTCTATCTAGGGTATTTAATATCGTTAATTCCATGTCTTTATCTAGGTCATAAAGTATGCGCACTTAATTTCATACAAATCGGTTTAATCGTGTAATAGTAACAAACATCCATACAAATTTTCGGGTTTAAAATTTTAGTACGATATGATTAAAAACTGTTGGTTGTATACTCATGATATCTGTTATTGTATACGGTGAAATAAATAGTTTTTATTTATTTTTTACAAACTTATCGATAAACTTACGGGTACAGACATGAGCTGCGTCAAGTCACTAGCAATACACGTGCCGGTGTGAGAGCGGAATAGCATAGATGATGTAGCGCATGCGAGAAAGGGATAGTGTTAAAAGACATCAACGCGTTCACCAAAAAATAAATACAATTAAAAGCAATTTCATATAAGAGTATTTTTGTCTTTTTGTAATGCATTTAAACTTACCGGTGAAAAGTAATACCATCTTTTTGAAGACTGGAAGTTTTACTCCACTTTCCACATAATTTAATTGCACAGTACGGCATTTTTTCTAGTTTTTTAACGCAAAAACGAGAGAAGCACTTCTGCTAACGGTCGGCTTCGGAATGAAACGATGTATAGCGACGTCTGTGGGCGTGTCTCACGCATACGTAATATACTACTTAAGCTTGGCGTAAGCGCTTGCCCTTGTATGCGGACTCTAGTGGGGGTGCTCCATGTCTGCGACCAACAGCATACACACTCAAAAAAAGTTTCTGTCACAGAGTACCTTATTATAACCGGAAATGCATAGATGACACCTGATTTTAAAAATTACTCTTATGCATTAACTTTAAAAACAGGCAACTATCTGTTAATCTACATGCTCTATATACCTGAATCTAATCCATAATTTCGGTACTTGGCTTGATTTCCCTAGTTTACTATAAAACTTATTTGTTTTTTATTATTTTAATATGTTCAGTGTATATGGTTTATAGAAGTTCTCAGGGGTGTCCGTCAATAATACTCGTTTCTACAGTAATTTATATATAATTTCGAAGCTAGGAAATAACTTTTCATGATTATTGGTATTTAGGCCAAACATGTATGGAAGCTGAGCAATCTCCTTTAACATCAGCCTCTCCTTTTCGTTCTGTATAGAGAATGACAAGGATTCACTGTTGTCAAATATAATTCGTCAATGTATATTATAAAAATATTAACTTAGTACTCTTATCTTACGTCTCATATACCTTCGTCCTTAAATAAGTGCAAAGATAGCATGGAATGAACAGGACCAAGATGGCACTAAGACATAAAACCATCATCACAACATGTACTTCGCCATTGTCTATTTTCTAAAATATAGAAATAAAACATGATAATATTTTTTCGCTCTATACAGAAACCTATTTAATCACACTAACACTAACACTAACACTCACTCTTTGTTTGTTACTTCTGCACGTTTAAACGGCCGGAGCGATTTTAATAAAATTTGGTATGAAGTTAGTTTCACTCTGGATTAACACATAGGCTACGTTTTACTGCGGGAAAATATCCCTAATAAACCTCGGGTAACACCGCGGGGCACAGCTAGTAAATTTGTAATGTGTATATTATATGACATAAAACATCATTATTGTTGAAAGTTAAGATTCATCACTTGAAGAGACGAACTTCTTAGCAATCCATGGATTCACCGTGCGGGTGCCGAGTCCATCGTCCTCGGAGAGAGAGAGAGAGAGAAACTCTGAGCAGTTCCCTGGACTTGCGACCCAGGTCTAGGTTTGAGGAGGCCCCCTTTGGGATGCGCATCAACGCTCACCTTCACTGCTCGAATTGCACGCTCTTCCCAGGCAAATTTGATAGGAGCCAGTTAGTGCAGCCTTAGTTACTCGTTCCAAAATTTAACTTACTGCAGTTCTCGACAGGCCTATGTATTTTAGAAGGTTATAGAGAGATTTTGCTGGTATACCTGTCGCTACTAATTCTACCGCATATAAATTAACTAGATAGCCATTTTAGTTAGTTCGTTGGTTAGCTCGTAATATTTATTCAATTTTATTGTGTGGTCTTATGGAATACTACGAATTAATACGGTCTACTATCTACGGTACAGGTAGCTCTATTAGTACTATATGTTTGATGTGCCTACAAAAGAGGAATATGTCCGGGCTGAAGGACGAAACACCAATATCTTCTGGTACTTTATAGTGCTTTTCATACGTATCCATTAAAATAGTCCAGTCAGGTGCAGTACTTAGGATTGAGAAAGGCTTACTTTTCGAGTGAACAGTTGAGCCTTCCTTTATAAAGTTAATTTGTTATTTATTTGTGAAAAATCCTTTTTGGTCTCTGGTCACTGCAAGATTTGCTGCTTCACGTATGACTTTAAGTACTCTATCATGGCAACGTGAGTCGTACACCCCTATCAAGAAGCACCTTGCAACCTACCAATATGTGCCCAGCAGTACCTATTGCCTCACCACAAGTATAGCAAGATTTTTCTGAGGCTTTCACCCAACTTACTAGGTTACTCGGGACTGGGAGGGTCATTTGGAAAGATTTGAATAGAGTTGAGGAATCAGCTGAATGGGCTAGTCCAAGCCATAACTTCAATGTCTTTATGATATTTGCATCCAATTTTGCCAAGAGGGTTTTACCAATTTCATATACAAGGAGAGGACAAGTCAGACGTGACGTTAGTTAGTTGTCGTATATCCAAACTTTGTTAATATTTCTTAATGGTTGCTGATCTACCTTATTTAAGTCATTTAGAAAAATATTGAAACCTGCCTCTAAGGATGGAGTACGTCGTTTGTGATCAATCTATTTACCTAGAAATTTGAAAGGCGCAGCTTCAGAAATCGTGGTAACGCTTGGGTAACGCATTGTCCTCCTATTGAGAGTTCGGGATCGTAAGAGGTATATTTGGTGTCTCGTCTACCCAGGCATAGACAGCAGCACTTAATTGGTTTTGTCATCAGTCCGTCAGTACATGCACAGTACTCATCCACTTCAATTAATAATTTCTGACATTGTTTAGGATTACGTATCAGTATTGCGAGGTTGTTTGCAAAGGCTAAGATGGACTCTGTGTATTTTAAACCGATAGGCCCATTTTTTCTCATGACTTATTAGCTTTTTAGTTTAATAAGTTACACTTACTGTAATCAAATAAATTAATAAAATATAAATATAAACTACATAAGAACTGAAATGAACTTGCCTCAGCGGAGCAATAGGCGAGCATACAAACCAGAGGACTGGCTATAAACTGCTCAAACATTAGACATTTCCTGTATACGGCGGCATAACATTCTAGGAGTCTGTAAAAATGTAAATAATAACTGTTAATTTACTTACAATATTAATAATAACAGAAATCAGTTACGATCGACACCTACTTCATAGTCAGGCGATTCCTCACAATCATCAACCATACAAACACCCAAATCAGTACGTACATATCGAACCGAACGTGGTCGGTTCCCACCACCAGTACCACAGATACTGAGAATAAAAATAATTTATTAAATAATAATGATGATATATTGTTTTAAACTTTCATGGTCACTAACATTATAGTAATATAAGTTATTTACGGGATTGTTACCATGTACCTTGTTTTTAGCGAGTTTCCGATATTTCGGCACTGTTGCAAGCGCCATGATCACGGAGTAACTGATCCGTTACAGTTACTCCGTGATCATGGCGCTTGCAACAGTGCCGAAATATCGAAAACTCGCTAAAAACAAGGTACATGGTAACAATCCCGTAAATAACTTATATTACTATAATAATGATGATAATTGAAGCGCCGTTTTGGAAAATTAATCTCCACCTTGCAGAAAACTACAGTGAAATACTACCCTTCAATTGTGTTGTGATCCTGCCGGTCCTAAGCTCCATGGGGTAGTAAGGAAAAAGGTCAGAGTTGGTGCGAGTGAAACTATGGTATGACAAAGCCAGGATTTGTTTGCCTTCTTTATTACTCATCCCATAAAAAGACTAAAAGAAGACGTAAAATTTCCGTCATTTTTAAGTATTCGATAGTTATATTTTAGTTTTTAAGCATTTAACTGCTAGGTGTTGAAATATAAAAAAAATACTAGAAAAATATCCACGCGAACCAGGCTGCGGATGGGATTCGAACCCGCACCCTTCAGTCTTGCAGCCTAAGAAATGCTAGAGAAAATCCGACACGGCCAACAGGGCTGCGAAAGCATAATCGTCAAGTCATTCGCTTGGATAGGGAAGGGTGCGAGGTCGAGTACCGTCTGCTGCCTGGTCCGCATGGATTTTGTTTCTAGTAAAATTTTCTATTTAATAGTTACTTGCACTAGAGAATTAAAATAATGAGAAATGTAAAAGCACACGAAATATAGATTGATATCATTACAAGAAAGATAATTTGGATAACGTTTTACCTATACATAATTATATGTTGAGATACTATCTCTTTCATCCGGAAGTTTATCAATGACGCGAAGTGCTGTCTTTGTTCTTCGTCGTCAGTTGAGTAAATACCTTCTAGAAGATCGTTGATACACATGCCGATCAAGTCTGCCTTCGCAGCTATCTGCCGTATCCACACTATGTTAGTTTGAATTACAACTGGAATATTAACGTACAAAAATAATATTTTTAGCCTTAATACATTGGATGGGAATGGGGGGACGGGGATTTTTGGAAGAGGCATATGCTCAGCAGTGGGTATCATAGCGTGAAATAATGAGGATAACATAATAATAAATTGATTTATTCTCTAATGGCAACCTGTATTTTTTTATACAAAAGGACATTGAATACTCACAAGCATAATTGTAACAGCAAGCCATAACGCCAATATTAGCAAATGTAAAGGCGATTTCAAAGGCTGGTGTCGTTGTATAATCTACACCTGGTGCCCAGAAAGGGAACACCAATGTTCTATGCGATCCATCGCCAGGAGTGTGTGTTAAATGGTAGACAACAAGCGTGCCTGAAGCAAACAATACCAGACTCGTTCCCATAGAAAACATAAAGCTGATAACAACGAAACATGCTTTCCATGTTCCAAGTTGAGTCTCAAAGAACACCTTTCTAGAATCAAAATTTGACGTAGTTATAAAGGTAATAAAGAAAACATACCTAACGTCACACAAAAAATAAACAGTTAATGCAATGCATTGTATTCAGAAGTTAATAATTTTAAAAATATTTCCTCACCTATACTTTTCTTTTTTTGTTTCTATATAGTTAAAGTCCTCCTTCATAGCATGGATCAGGTGAATGTAATCAGATAAATTGACTTTCGTCGTTATGAGTGTCATCATTTTGTAGAGTAACATAAGAACATAGGTACCTGATTCAGTGATAAGGCTCATATCGAAAATATCTATAGCATGATAGAGTGATAGACAAGCATCTGTCAATACTCCAACTCCACATAATGCGGTAATAGTTTTAGTAATATATCTGAAATACGAAACTTCAGTATGAGTTTTTAATTTCTATTACACTATGTTGATCAGCAATGTTTAGTCCGAAAACATATAGTTCTTGACATTTTATTGTATTATTTTATTTTATTAAGCATTTAACTGCTAGATAGCAAAGGGTGCGGGTTCGAGTCCCATCAGCTGCCTGGTCTGAGTTTTTTTTTCTAGTGGAATTTTCTTTAGATATAGTTCTTATTTTTTTTTATCATTTTGCACATTTAATGAATCTAAAAACCAAGCAGGTATTTTTAAAATAGTTTAAAACGGTGTTGATTTTTTTTTACTTACGTCCAAGTTGCAAACGGTTCGTCTATGACTTGATAGGCTCTTTGAACAGCAAAGAAGATCCGATGATATATTTTAGGATCGACAAACCGTTTGGAGTAATCGAAGTCTTCTTTATTGTACACTGCTTTAATTTTATTCCAGAACATGTTTACTTTTTAACTTACAAATAATTTATGAATGTTAAGCCGTACAAATTGATGATTTTTAGTACACTATTTACACCATCAAGTACCTAAGTATTAAATCATAATCCCAGCTCCTAAAATTGTCCTTACAATACGAAAGAGTTGTATTATTGCTGTATGCTTCCAATTAGAATAAAGATTTTTTTTTCTAGTTCAAGAAAGTAAATATACGACAAAAGAAATATAATGAATTAATCTAATGCGAAGTGGTTATTTAATTTTAATATGAATTTATAGAGTTTAAAAAGCCTTATCATAGAAGATTGCCGGGAGTCCAGCATGCATTTTAGAAGAAAAAAAAACGCATAATATGCGTAGGTAGGCATGGTACAGAATAGCGTCCAACTTTTTTATGCTAAGTACATACAGTTTTAAGCAAACGTACAACCCAAAATTTTGAAAATATAGGTATTTATAATTACATCGAAACTTAAAAAATGACAATTCAGACAACAAGATACTTTAGAGTACGAAACGGCAATAAAACTATTTGTGGCAACTTCTCTTTTATCACAGGCATTACGTGTTTTCTGGGGCATAATTTTCAGCTCTAACAGCTAACATAGCATTATTTTTTTACATTGCCGCGAGCTATGTCGTACACAAAGTGACTATGGTAGCGAGCAACCTTGACTGTAAAATTATTACGGCTATCATATAATCTGGCTTGAAAATTTTTCAATGCAAGATAATTGAAAGCCTGCTGCAAAGGAATCCTGTCCAACATAGCTATGGAGAATTTCATGGCTGAGCTTTTATATATAATCTGATTGTGTCAGTTATGTACTAATTACTATTCATTATGCACTAAATAAAAAAGTATTTACTAATAGTTATAAAAAAATCTGTTTTAATGTCCAAATAGTTCGTATTAACTTTAGTTTTTGAGAATCTCTCAGGAACCTCACATTATTTCGGGATAAAAAGTATCCAATGTCCCAATCCAAATAATTAACTATATGTGTGCCAAATTTCATCCGTGATTGAGTAATTGAGTAACAGACATACAAACTTACACATTTATAATAATAAGCACATGTAGCATTGCTTAGATCTAAGATAGTATTAGAAAACGCTAATGATGGATTGGCAGGCCGTCGCCTATTCCCGCTGTCGAGTTCGAATTTTGTTACAAAATGACTTAACAATTCAGTAACGAGTCAAAATCCAGCCAACTACGAAAAGAATAACGCTAAAGTATATCAAATATCGAATGCTACTTCCGTTATTTTTTAAAGACTGGAATATTTAAAAAACTCACCACTTCAATGTTCCATTCATTCAAATGTGTACTAAGTGCTTGGTGATTGTCCATAAGAGCATAATTTAAGCTGTTAATAGTTCATTACTAGCTATACAACAAATAAAAAAATACTTTAGTTAGCCCAATTCATTGTCCCGAATCCACTTAGGTACTTAAATAATGCCACATTGATGTTTAACATGTAGTATATATGTATATTACATTCAGGTACATTAAATAAGTGATTTTTTATTAATATTGTTTAGTGGGGCGATCAAATTGTTTCATCGGGCAACGCCGATGTGTTTGCTCGTTCCACGTTGGGTGCCAATTTTACGTGCCGAGAATTCCAACGAAATCCCTTCTACATTTACTTCGTTGTGGCTGAAACAATAGATAAATGCGGTAAAATTTATTTATAAATACTGATGGATAGAGATTTTAATGAGTTATGATGCGTTCAATGTAATTTTCAAAGAAGTCGTGCATTTATCATCTTAAAAAAATATTAATAATAGGTACAATTGACTCTATATTAAGCAATAATGTTAAGCAGACGGCCTTTAGTCGGAATTGTTTTATTTTATAATCTTATTTTTATTTTAATATTTATTTCTATCCGTTTGTATGTAACTAAACTCTACCTAAGCGGCTGTACCGATTTAAATTAAACCCTGTGTGCATTCGGGAGCGTCCTTGGATTGTTTAGATGTGGGTTAGTACGAACTCGATATTGGTACAGTACCCTTAGCACGAACCAATATCGAATTCGTAACGTTTGCGAGTCCGAAATGTTATTGTCAACTGTGTACTGATTTTTAGTTCTTGTTAGGTATTTTGTGGCGCTGCTGTTCAAGTTTCCATATAAAATTTGACAAAGACATTCCGCACTCGCAAACTATTCTAATTAGATAATGGTTCGTGCTAAGAGTACTGTACCCCTAGCACGAACCATAATCGATATCTAGCACGAATCAGTACACATTTGACACTGACATTTCGGACCCGTAAACGTTACGAATTTGATATTGGTTCGTGCTTAGGGGACTAGATATGACAAGCGGTCATGTATCCAGATTCGCAGAGTTTTTGTAACCATCCTAAACATTTGGACTGAATTCAGTGAAATTTCATGTGTATGTGGGCCCCTAGATGGTTTGAATTCACAAATGAAACAGGCACTAGCAACAAAAAGAATGTGAGACAGCGATCTGTTCTAGATAACTGGATCAGTGGTTTACCTATCTCATGCAGATGGAAAACCTATTGAGCAATATATAAAAACCTGTTTTTTTTTTTAATATATTTACCAATCTCTCCCACTTTTGATCTCCCAATTTGATCGTTTCTATCAAACCAGTTTACAGGAAGTTGGATAACACAGTTCGTGGTGTAGTCGTCGACAAATTGTCTTCAGAGCAACCGGTGAACTATAAAGCGTACGTTACTACAACTCCTGAGACACAGCTGTTCGCAGTTAAACCGTGGCTTTATGTTACCGTCGGTTCTATTAGAAGTAATTATTACTGCCACCTACTTCCTAATAGGTACGTACTAATTTAAACTCTTAGCTTGACTAAATTTCGCCTGCAACTGTTTGTTCGCAGATAGAGAATGTATTCTGGGACAATGTATGGTTGTTCAAATCAGTAGGTGCAATGTAGGTACAATGTCTGTCTATGATTTTATCCATTTAGGTATTTAGTAAATATTAATATTACATTATTTCAGGTAAGCACATGTATATCAGCTGCCTATTAGTTTGTTAAATACATCATTATGCAATTCTAAAAAAATCGTCTGTATTAGGGAAGAAGATGTAGAAGCCTATATACACTCATATTTCTCTGATCCCTATAATACTAAGCTGAAGTACTGAATGCATCGAAATCAGTTATTACAAAGGTAACACAAACCGAGACCAGACACAATTTAAAATGCTGTATAAGTCCATTAAACAAGTGTAAGTATTTGTATCTGTTTATTTAACCACATTTTATAAAATCTTCATATAAAAGCGAATAAAAAAATTTCATCTACATTAATAATGTAGAAATGTGCCTGGACGGACGGCGGAGGAAAATCTCAATTACATGCCAGGAGGCGGGCGTGAAAAATTAATGTGTGACGTAATGGACCGGCCACCGCGTCCGGCGATGACTGGCTTGACCTGGCCGCGTATTGCCATACTGTAATAGGGCCCCGTTGGTTGGTTGCGACCCGGGTGCCGATTCTGCTAAGTTGAAGTGATAATCGTGTATCAAATGGTGTTTCACTAGTATTGATTTTGACACGTTTATCTTCATTAAAACACAAAAAAATAATGTTTTATTATTCATGCATTTGATATTTTGTATAAGACTAACAAGAACTGCTTAGTTTTATGACGCAATCTTACTTGGATTTTTGACAATTGTTAAATATTTTTGACTGGCTACTTCACAAAAAAATCACCACATTGTTAAGTTTATAGCAAAAGTATTGCGCACGAGGCCATTACGTGGCATGCACAGAACAAAGGTCAGGATCATTATGTCACTTTGCAGCACAGAGTACAGTGCAAAGGGCTGCGTTCGGGACCTACAATCCGGGTGCGACAAGTGCCAGTTTTTGTAAATAAAAGTTTTAAGTTTCTAGTGCTAGCGTTCCGCACAGTCATGGAGTGATTGCGATTCGTCATTCGGGGGGGACAGCAGGCTGTCCTTATCGGTCGTGATGGGGAGTGATATTGAGGGACTGTAGTTGGGTTTATAGTCAGCGGGTACGGGTGGCTGTGTGGAGGGCCGGCATTATAGTGTAATGTGTGTATGTTGGTGTGTTTGTATGTTTGTATGTTAGTCATTCATTAGAAATGTATAACGTTATACGTATAATTGTGTTCGATTGTTGTCTCGCTTTAATCCGGCATTCGCAGATCACCTTTGCCATAGGGCGCTGGCTGAAAATTAGCGCTGCTGTGGTAGCGCGAAAACGTTTACCACAGATCATAGCTGAGGCAGCGCCCTATTGTCCTTACACGGCACGAACCTAGAAATTAGTTTTTTTTAATTTATTATTATTGTCTATGTTTTGACTTTTATATAACCATTTTGTACTCCTAAATTAATGTTGTGAAGGCCAATAAAATGTTTTTCTTTCTTTTCTTTCTTTCTTTACTTCAAAATTGAGCTCTGTAATGGCGTAATGCAATTTTATACAACTAATACCGCGCGGTGCACATGCACAGCATACTAACTATTTTTTCAACAATTTAAAGTTATTGTTTATTCATATTATCAAGATATTATAATATTTCCTAAGTAAAAACCCTATAGAATACAAAAACACGTTTCATTTACGCATAGCTTTGGTCTATCTTCACTCTATCTTGTAATGTTAGGTGGATCAAATCATTAGAACGCATCTTTACAAATGTTTTGCGCTGACAACTCATGAGCAATCAGCATGGAGATTTTAAAGCAAGGCCTATATACTTAGCAGTTGGCTAATAACTTGGCTAGTCAGTAAAAAATAGTGTGCTCTTAGTAAGGAAGTCGTTAAATTTCTGCTGAGTTTCGACCTTTTTGCGTTTTAAGTTTACAATGTAAATCTGAGGCTACATAATCCATACTTTAATGTTTGTCACTGTTAAATAATAAAATTCTGAAATATATTTTACTGAAAACTTTATATGGTGGTTTAATTTTCTGTATGTTATGTATCTAAACTATGACGCTGT